AATGATGCAATTCAAACCCAAACTCTTACTTTTAAACTCCGTGTGACCCAGAGGAACTCTTGAGACAGAGAATGTGATGCGATATGAAAGTTTAATGTGGATTTATGTGATTATATATAAAAAAAATAATAAATGAAAATAGAGAATGTGATGCGATATGAAAGTTTAATGTGGATTTATGTGATTATATATAAAAAAATTCTTCACTCTTCACTCTTCACTCTTCCGTGAAGCATACTTATGCAGAGGGGAGGGACTATCTCATTCTAGAGAGCGTTTGATTGGACGAATATTTGTGTATTTCAGGAGTCCGCAGCATCTTTGCTTCATTTTCCTGGAAGAGAAAAAACATTTTTTTTGTATTTATGCTAAAATTATTTATAATTTAGTTAACTTTTAGTATAGACATAAACTAAAAGCCTCAAAACAATATAGTTTTGATATCGTGGCATGTTTAAACTTTTGTGCTCTCTGTACATTGACCAGTGTTATTTTAGTATAATTGGATTAGTTTTTATTTTTATTTCATTTTAATTTTAGTTTTTTTTTTATTAGTTTTTGTTTTATTGCTCTCTGTACATTGACCAGTGTTATTTTAGTATAATTGGATTAGTTTTTATTTTTATTTCATTTTAATTTTATTTTTTTTTTTATTAGTTTTTGTTTTATTACTTTTGATTTCAGTTTTTATTTTAGTTACTTTAGTTTAAACTAGTTTAAGTTTCTGTCATTTTTATTTATTTATTTGCATTTTATTCGTTTTTCTTTTATCAATTTTAAATTCAGTTTTAATTTTAATTATTTTAATATTTCAACTTAAACTAAGCGGAAAAATTCATATTTTAAATTAGTTTTGTGAAATATATTTATATATAGTTTTATTGATTATATAATTTTATTCATCAACATTTTACATTTTTAGTCATTTTATTTTGTAGTTTTTATTAATATTTTGTATTATTTTGTATTTTATTTTTTATTTAATTGTATATTTTCCATTTTCATTTTAATTTTAGTTTAAGTTTTAGTCATTTTTATTCATTTATTTGCATTTTATTAATTTTTCTTTTATCAATTTTGAATTCAGTTTTAATTTTAATTCTTTGAATATTTCAACTTAAACTAAACAAAAATTCATATTTTAAATTAGTTTTGTGAAATATATTTATATATAGTTTTATTGATTTTATTGTTATTGTTTATTTAATTTTATTCATCAACATTTTTAGTCATTTTATTTTGTAGTTTTTATTAATATTTTGTATTTTATTTTTATTTAATTTTATATTTTCCATTTTAATTTTAGTTTAAGTATTAGTCATTTTTGTTCGTTTTTGCTTTTTATTAATTTTAGTTTTTTTTCATTTTTAAATTTAAATTTGAGTTATTTTTTATTTTTTTTTTTATTTTTTTTTTTATGGATTAGTTTTAGTTTCAGTTTAATAATCTTGACATTGACCCATTTCTGCTTTTATTTTTAAAGATGCTGGGAAGTGGAGCAGATCTGATGAACTCTGAGCTGGACTGATATTTGAACTCTTCTTATTGAAAGCGGCTCCTCATGAACTGAATTATCATCAGCACTCAGCACTACCTGATGCCCTACAGGTACTGAAACGAGTCAAACCTTTCTCTGTCCTCTATCATATCAGACCTTAAACACTTCGGAATCATATTTTAGTAAAAGCTTTTCATTTCATACATTAATTTTATTTCAGTAGATATGAAATGGCAACATGACAAAAATATGGATCTCAGCACACCATGTTGAAGTCGATATATTTGATAGAAATATATAATGGCAAAACAAGTAAACTGCATCAGTAGGGACTTCTTAAAATAATAATTCACCCATAAATGACAATTCTGTCATCATTTACTCATTTGTACACATTTTCTGTGCACTTTCCTAATACTTTTATGGCTTTTTTGGTCTTTTGTGCTATAAATCACCTTTTTATGAATCTTAAAAATCAGCTTTGACATTCTTCTGGAGCTTTTTTTCCACAGAAGAAAGAAAGAAAATAACATGAGGGTGAGTAAATGATGACAAATTTTTGAGTGAACCAGTCCTTTAATCAAACCCACTAAGTTTAGCCTTCGAATTCAGATCCGCTGTTTGTCTGTGGGTTAAACAGATGCTAAATATAATGTTTTTTATCAGAACTGTATTTGTTATTAATTGAAGGGACAATCCTCCTGGGGTTCAAGTCAACATGAAACACTGTTTGCTATGGCGGCACATTGCTGCCACATGCATATTATTTTTTTCCACTCAATTATGGCGTAATAACGAGATATTATGTTGTTTAAACAATATATCTTCTCATAATAACAAAATGCTATGTTGTTAAAATGACATATTTTTCGTGTTAAAGCAACATATTTTCTCGCAATAATGACGTATCATAAAAACGATATGTTTTAACAACATACCATCTCATTATTTCTAAAAAATAATATAGTTTAAATCACATAACATCTTGTTATTATTAGAAAATATATCGTTATATCGTTTTAATAACATATCTAATTATTCCGAGAAAATATGTTTAACGACAGCATCTCATTAATAAAACATTTTTCTCAACACTTTCACGACATATTTTCTCTTAATAACAAGATGTTATTATGTTGTTTAAAAAATATTTTTTAACAACATAAAATCTTGTTATTAAGAGAAAATATGTCGTTTTAATGAGAAAAATGTTTTATTGACAGCATTTCGTTATTACAAGAAAATCTATCGTTTTAACGACATATCATGTTTTCACGAGAAAATGTGTTTTAATGAGAAAAATTATGTTTTACAACATGGCATATCGTTTTAACAACATATCTCTTTATCACAAGAAAATATGTTGTTTTAACAATAAAAGTGTTTTAATGAGAGAATCTCGTTATTAGAAAATATATTGTTTAAATGACAACATCTTGTTATTACAAGAAAATATATCGTTTAAATTACATAACGTCTTGTTATTACGAGAAAATGTCATTTTAATGACAGAGAATCTCGTTATTACGAGAAAATCTATTGTTTAAATGACGTAGCATCTCATTATTATGAGAAAATATATCATTTAAGTGACATAACATATTGTTATTACAAGAAAATGTATCTTTTAACCACAATATCTGGTTATTTTGAGATATCATGTTGTTTTAACAAGAAAAATGTTTTACTGAAAAATAATAAATAACGTGAAGGAAAGTTAATTCAGAGGCAGAGCAAGTTATTACATTTTGACAAACATCTTTTATTTAGAATAAAGTGCACTCATTTTTTTTGTGCACAATAAGACCAGGTATCCGTTGTGGAGTTAATTTTGATTTCATGTTGACTTTAAGTGCTCAAGGGAGCAATGATCGCAGGACGTCCCTGTCATATGATTTGAGAGGATTGATATCGTCACGAAGGTTGTGAATATGAAAACATGCATAACCAGCAAGCATGAGAGGAACAGAGAAAAAGCGCGAGAGAGTTTGTGCTTTTCAACTGATTGAGCTGCTGTCCTGCATCTGTCTGTGTGATGACTGACAGCTGTCACTCATTATTTATGGACAGTGAAAGGCTCATGGGCTTCGTTTGACGTTTCTGTGGCGCCACCGGTAACGTTACTGTAAACATATTCATCATTTCATTTAAATAGCATCAGCCTTTTCAATGGATTGTGCTCATACACTCTTAAAAATAACGGTGCTTCAAAAGGTTCTCCAAGCGATGCCGTAGAAGAACCATTTTTGGTTCCACAAAGAAGCATTCAGTCAAAGGTTCTTTAAAGAACCATCTCTTTCTTAGCTTTTTATAATCTGAAGAACCTTATTTCACCACAAAGAAGCTTTTGTGAAACAGAAAGGTTCTTCAGATGTTAAAGGTTCTTTATGGAACCATTTAGACAAAAAGGTTCTTCTATGGCATCGTGAAGCACCTTTATTTTTAAGAGTGTATTCTGTTTTCAGATATTTTTGTGATTTTTTTTTTAAGTAAATATTGTGTAAAAGAAGTGTTTGTTTAAAGGAATAGTTCACCCAAAAACAAAAATAAAATTTTATTTTATCATTGAGATACTATTATAGATTCTTGAAATATGTTGAACAAGTTTTTAATTTGTATTATTTATTTCTATTATTTATTTAATTTTAATTTAAGTTAAATTTTTTGTAATTTTGTTGTGTGTTTTTGTCATTTTTAGTAGTTTTTTATGTCTATATAGTTTTATTCGTTATTATTTAAGTTTCAGTTTTAGTTATTATAGTACTTCAAGCTAAACTAAATTAATGAGAGAAATGTTCACTTGGCAACTATCTGAAACGACATTTGTTTTATATTTTATTTCAGTTAACATTTATTTTATTTCATGTAGCGAAAATGTTTTAATTTTAGTTTTAGTTAACTATAATAGCCCTGCCCTCAAGCAGGGTTATTATTCTTACTTAAAACTAAAACGAACAAAAACATTTTAGTTACTTGATATAAAATAAACATGGAATACACTGGAATAAAATTAAATTTTAAATTATTTCAGTTAGTTGCCAAGGCAACATTTTTCATTTTCATTTAGTTTAACTTTAAGTACTAAAATAAATAAAATTAAAACTGAAATATATTTATAGATATATATTTTTTTAAATTGTAAAAAATAACAAAAACACAACAAATTAAAAAAAATAGATTTTTTTTAAATAACTCAAAATATGTATGTTTCTTTTTGTTTGTGTTGAAGTACTAAAATAACTACAATTAAAAATGAAATAAAACTAAATAAAACAAACTATAAAAACACTATTAAAAAAAACAAAAACTATTAAAAAACAAAAACTAATAATGTTGACAAAAACACACAACAAAATTACTAAAACTTTAACTAAAATTTAAATAGGGGAAAAAAAGTATAATAGCATATCAATGATACCAAACTTACAATAATACTACAAATTTTATTTGTACTGTAGAACACAAATTCTGAATAAAAATAAAATTTTTATGATGCTTTTATGGTGCTTTTTTGGAGCCTGACATTGATCAGTTGTTGTTGTATGTGTGAAGATTCTTCATAAATTCTTCTTTTGTGTTCCACAGGAAATAAAATGACATGATACATGTTCAGAACATCAAAGAATGACAATGTCCATTTTTGGGTGAACTGTCCCTTTAAATTCATCAGCGGACCAACCTGCTTTTAAGATCTCAGCCTCTGCAATTAAAAACCCACATTGTTTGTTATCAGTGTCGGCATGTAAAAGTCATAAATAATCCAACAGTTCCAACACTGTGCTTATTGTTTCTCTGTGCTGAAAAGAGTTGAAGGGTCCCATCATAAGGCCTCCAGTCAGACGGTAGTGACTCTCATAACCACTTCTCTAGGTTTAGTGGTGTTCGTGCTGATGTTACTGGTTGGGCTGCGTGCCTCGTGCGGTCGTAGATGACTCAGTAAATGCAGGAGGTTATAGGGACAGTGTTGGTCCGGTAAAGCTGGCCCGTCAGCGAGAGTGTCAGTCTGGTAGGAGTCCTGCGCGGCCGCTGTGATGTTTGTGTTTGTCGTGCCATCGGTCACGTCGAGTGCCGGCGTCCCAGCAGCAGCCATGAGTGAAGACGGTGAAGGAGAGACGTCCGCTCCTGCCGGCTCCCTCTGGTGGAGCAGTGAATTTTTCTTCAGCTCCTCACTGTCTCGCTTCTTATCGTAGTTTAAAACTTTCCACTGCTGATTGACGGCCTGCCAGCGGTGGAATATACGGAAAACGGATGGGCCCTCGTGGACGATTAGAGCTGCGGAGAAGAGAGATTCATTCGGGTTAACTGTAAGTTTTTGTTTTGATAATTCTGATAATTCTTGAGTTACATGGAAGCTTGTTTCTGCCACAAAACAAAACAAAAAATCATGCAATTTTGAGTTCATGTCTTGCAATTCTAGTTTATATCTCGCAATTCTAGTTTATATTTTGCAATTCTGAGTTTATATTTTGCAGTTCTAGTTTATATCTTGCAGTAGTTTATATCTCGCAATTCTGAGTTATTTCGCAATTCTGAGTTTATATCTCACAATTCTAGTTTATATATCACAATTCTGAGTTATTTCTCAATTCTGAGTATATATTTTTCAATTCTGCGTTATTTCGCAATTCTTAGTTTAAATTACGCAATTCTAGTTTATATCTCATAATTCTGAGTTATTTTGCAATTCTAGTTTATGTCGCTATTCTGAGTTATTTTGCAATTTTGAGTTTAAATTTCGCAATTCTAGTTGATATCTCACAATTCTAGTTTATATCTCATAATTCTGAGTTTATATTTCGCAATTCTAAGTTTATATCTTGCCATTCTAGTTTATATCATGCAATTCTGAATTTTTTCGCAATTCTAGTTTATATCTCGCTATTCTGAGTTATTTCGCAATTTTGAGTTTAAATTTCTCAATTCTAGTTTATATCTTGCAATTCTAGTTTATATCTCATAATTCTGAGTTTATATTTCGCAATTCTAGTTTATATCTTGCAATACTAGTTTATATCTCATAATTCTGAGTTTATATTTCGCAATTCTAGTTTATATCTTGCAATACTAGTTTATATCTCATAATTCTGAGTTTATATTTCGCAATTCTAGTTTATATCTTGCAATACTAGTTTATATCTCATAATTCTGAGTTTATATTTCGCAATTCTAGTTTATATTTTGCAATTCTGAGTTTACATTCACAATTCTATTTTATATCTTGCAATTCTATTTTATATCTCACAATTCTAGTTTATATCTCATAATTCTGAGTTTATATTTCACAATTCTAGTTTATCCTGTATCTTGCAATTCTACTTTATATCTTGCAATTCTGAGTTATTTCGCAATTCTGAGTTTACATTGCACAATTCTATTTTATATCTTGCAATTCTAGTTTATATCTCGCAATTCTGAGTTTATATCTCACAATTCTGAGGCTTCCATAGAGATAAGTAAGGTAAGAGTATGATGGCAGAATGAACCCAGTGCATGTATTATTTCATACTAATGACTCATAAATCTCTGGATCCAGGCAGATGTGTGTTGAGCACTGGGTATCTCATCTAGTGTTCTGTTTGAAGAAACACTAATCCAAAACTCCTGGAGTTTCTCTCTGATTTATGCCTGTTTCCATCTACATTTAAACTAGAGGTAATATTAATGAAGGTAGACGGCTGTGTCTGGCCTGGTTCCGCATTACTTGAAGCTCTTTCTCTCCATGTGTTTGTCCAGCGCTCTGAGATGTTGTGTCCTCCCATGTTCTGTGTCAGAAGGTTGATTATGACTCCTGACCTCTTTACTAACTTTCTCCTCCTGTTTCTCCCTTTGCTCTCTCTTTTCTTTGCCTTTCTGGGAAGTATTTTTTATTGTGAATCAGGCTTAGGGTTGGTTTTGATTTTTACATTCTAATTATAATGTTTTGCACTGTATGTGGACAGGTAAAGGTAAAATGTAAAAATACATGTAAAATTTACATCACTTGCTGAACAATGGATACTCTGTAGTGAATGGGTGCCGTCAGATCTTGGTTGGCCTGAGGGTGAGTAATTTGACAGCAAATTTTTTTTTTTTTTTTACTTTAAGGGAATAGTTTACCAAAAAATACTAAATTTAGGCAGATTGTCAGAGCTTCTGTTTTCTGAGAATATGGTGATTTATATTTTCAAGCTCCAAATGTTTACTCAGAAATTACTAGTAAATTTCCCAATTAATTACAATTAAATACATTGAATAAAAAATTTAATTCTGAAGTACAAAGACTGAAATAGTATTTTTATGTAAAACACATAATCCCATAATCCTTCAAAATAATTTTTTAGTGTACATTAGAATTTCTAACTAGTGCTTTAGAGAATCCGCTCTTATGACTGGGAATGAATGCGACACAAACAGTCTCTCCTGCTGTGTCACGTTTTATTTGCCATTTGCACAAAGACAAACAAACTGAATCATTCATCAATTGATTCTTTAGAGTTTTCTCTCTTTCTGTTTACACTCATGTGTGTTTGTGTGACTATATGAGTGAATTTAGTATTTCATAAAATCTGTGAGGAGACCTATTTCTAATTTTCAGGAATAAATTACATTTTACAATATATTCAAATAGAAAACAGCTTTTTACTGTATTTTTATTCAAATAAATGCAGTCTTGGTGAGCAGAAGAGACCTCCACCTTATTGACCCAAACTTTTGAACGTTGTATGTGCTCTTCCTCAAAAGTAAAATTTTATTTAGTACTTTAGTACTTTAAATAATAATGAGAAATGTTGCCTTGGCAACTAGCTGATATAAAAACGTTATTTATTTATTCTTTTGATTTAGTTAATTTTGATTTAGTTAGTTAATTTGGTTTTAAGTAACACAAATATTCTTTCATGGTTGTAGTTTTAAAACACTCCAAAGAGAAAGGAAAAATTGAAATCGCATCATATGACCCCTTTAAAAGAATCATTCAGAATCAGAACTGTTCCCATAATTAAATTCAGGGCTCATTTTGTGTCTTGTAAGTGGTTTTGACGTGCTGTACCTGCAGCGGGTTCTTGGTGCTGATGGCGATCACCTGATACTTGTAATAACAGAGTTCACAGGTCCACGAGCCTCTTTCACTGATCCACTTGATGAGACACGGTTGATGAGTGCTGCGAATGGAGCCGCTGCAGCGACACGGGCTCAGCAGCTCACCCTGAAACACACACACAAGCTGGAGCTCATACTCGAGGAGGAAAAAACACCTCACTTTTCTTCAGAGGCCCAGATTGAGCAAAAATATGCAGTTTGCTGCAGATGCTGATATTTACATGACCAAAAAGTGATGAACTTTTGATGCTTGTAACGTAAATCAATGAGATCTTTATAACAGTACAGCAGATACTTACATAAAATGATATAAATATCAATCGTCACTCTATATCTCCAATAATATGTCTTAGTAAGATGAAATTTAAATACTTAGTTTTATGATCAAAACATATAATGCAATGCAATACGATGATTATTGAGAGATGAACAAATAAACGTTCCTCAAAATCCTGATGATCATATTTGAGACTCATATTTGAACAAAAAAAACGATGTCTGGATAATCAAAGCTAAGTTGATTCAGTCCAGTAAGTGTTCATCTGGAAATATTACTAACCATATCAAAGATATTCTTATGTTTACTCTATAAAAATCAGTAAAGATTTCACAGCAAGACAAGTGAAGCACGAGCTGAAGCTGGACGTTTGTACAATTACACTAAAAGACCTTTTACTTGCTAAAAAAAGTCTAAACTATCAATCAGACGACAGAAGGCATGGAGCAGATTGTGTGCAAGAGGTTTCACAGCAACGTTTTGATCATTCAGAGACTTTAGAAATTCATACATTAAATATGATACAGTAGGCTTTATAGGGTTAATTGTGGTGTTATTTTTTCTTTTGTTTGCTGTAAACATACTGCTACAAAATGTATAGCCTGAATGCACTGTAAGTCGCTTTGGATAAAAGCGTCTGCTAAATGCATAAATGTATTTAAATGTATTTAATTTAAACATATTTAAAAGCATGTATTATCTGCACTTTTTCCATTACCAAGCACTTATTCAGTGTTTTATCTCGAATTTTAGAAGCTGCAGTTCAGGCATAATGAAAAGTGTGTGAACTGACAATTTCAGAACAAATATTTTATCCTCCTCATGGGCACTATATGAAATTTAAATAGAAAAAAGAGAACTAAAGCCCAACGTTCATTCAGACTTCAGAGTGACTTTTTAAGTGCACTATATACGGTAAACTGCTGCTTACTGGATCATCAAAAGCTCTGTGAATCCCAGTAAACTAACCTTTTTTATCTTTTTATAAAAGATTTTTGTTGTTGTTGTTAAGAAATCACTATTTTTATTCAACAAGGACTCATTAAATTGATCAAAAGTGAGAGTAAAGACATTTATAATGTTACAAAAGATTACAAATAAATGATGTTCTTTTGAACTTTCTGTTCATCAAAGAATCCTGAATAGATCCACAAAAAAACAATATGAAGAAGCACAACACTACAAAAGTAATAAGAAATGGGCACCTAATCTTGAGCACAAAATTTGCATATTAGAAGTATATAATATAATTTTTAGAAATATTTTACTTTTGTTTTTTTATTTAATTCATTCATTTTAATTTAATTTTAATTTATTTAATACATAATCTAATTTATTATATTAATATATTAAATTATTCTCTCTTTTTCTTTCCCTAATTTACATTTTAATGTTATTGGCATGTGAATACTTTGTATATTTGTGTATTATCAGTATTAATCTTTTTGGGGTTTTTTTATTTATCGTCTGCATTTGGGATTGTTGTGTTGAGATGGGAATTAACAGTTAGGAAAATGGAAGTGCTTTTGTCGCTGAATAATTTCTGTGTACCGTTTTGATAAAAAAAATGATTCAAAGTACTGTTCAATCTCATTAGAAATTGATTATTCTGCTCAATATTCAATTCAATTCAAGTTGATTTGTATAGCGCTTTTCATGATACAAATCGTTGCAAAGCAACTTTACAGAAAATTAAGTTTCTACAATATATTTACACTGCAAAAAAATGCTTTTCTTACTTAATTTTTTTGTCTTGTTTTCAGCCAAAATATCTAAAAATTCTTAAATCAAGAAGGATTTTCTAGACAAGTTCAAATTATTGTCTTGTTTTCAGAAAAAACATGTCAAAATTAAGTGAGTTTTTGCTAAATAGAAGCAAAATAATCTGCCAATGGGGATAGCAAAATTATCTTATTTCAAACAGAAAACATTCTGTTACCCCATTGGCAGATTATTTTTGCTTGTTTCAGGCAAAAATTTAACATGTTTTTTCTGAAAACAAGACAATAATTTTTACTTGTCTAGAAAATCCTTCTTGATTTAAGAATTTTTTGATATTTTGGCTGGAAACAAGACAAAAAAATCTAAGTAAGAAAAGCATTTTTTGCAGTGTCGTAGTAGCTTATCAGTGGTGACTGTCAGTTAATGTACATATGGCAGAAATGTACGGAAAATCAATTAAAGACGTAATCAAACAGACGATGAACATTATTAACAGCAATTATTATATGATGCAATCAAACTTATAGCAAAATTTGGTAGTTCTGTATGTGGTTTCAAGGTTTAAATATTAATGTATGCTGTCTATATGGATGCATATTAGAGTATTCTGGCGTTAGTTAAGCAACACACTCCTGGCAAACCAATTTCGACTGGTTGAATCTGGTTTTTCTCAGCAGGCAGCTCACTGTGATTTGGACCAGATCCTCTAGTGTGTGTCTAGTGTAGTATATTTACTACTGGACTGTGCTGTAGTGAGTTATGCGTGTGTAATATTCTGCTCTGCTGCGTGTAGATGACAGCGTTAATTGGATGCGGATGGATGTAGACGTCCTGACTGTCCTGTCTGTGAAGCGCTGCGTAACTGAAGAGCAGACACAGTAACAGGTGCGGCGCAGTGTGAGCGCTCACCTTCGAGCACTAACACTAGAGTCACGCTGAGAGATATCCACACTCGCACACACAACATGCCCTCTCGTTTCTCTCGAGTGCATAAACAGAGCGCGAGTTAAACGTTTCAAAACCGTTTCTCATGTCAGAACCCAAAAACACAGATCAGATCAGCTGAGGTTAAACTGCGCTGGATGTTATTGCTCAGAGTTTGCTCATTCAAAGCTCAGGATACATAATGGAGTGCTCAGTTATGTTTCATTTATCAACTTTAAAACTTAATTCGGAGAAATGCAAATCGACACAAGTTGTTGACAAATTGTTATATTTCACAGAATCTTCAGAGAAACGTCTGAGACAAAGTTGATACTTGAATAAAACATGTCTGAAAACTCAATTATGTCTCCTGAGCAATGAATGAGCAACCTCTGAGCACACAATCAGCTTTAAAAGTAACATGGATTTGATGAGAAATATTTGAGTTCATATTGAGATCTCTGACTTTTGATTGGAGACACTGGTATTGTGACAAATGTGAGCACTGTTTGAGATTATTGGGGTCTGTTTTCCCAGGAGAAACCTCTGAGAAGCAGATCTTATTTTTATCTCATTGCTGTCTAGGAGAAACAAATTAGTTTTTCCGTTTCCAGTACATTTCTGAAATATTCCAGAAATGTTGGAAACTTTCCAGGATTTATTTTTGGAATATTCCAGGGATTTTGGGGAATTTACCGGAAATGTTCCAACCCTTTGCAACCCTAGTGTTGAACTTTCTTCTCCTGCGTCCTATTCTTCATGCTATTCAGAATAGCAGCGCAGCTGAAAGTTTTTTTTTTTTGAGCTGCGCCCTCTACTGTACAGACGTGAATTTACATTTCCTTCAGCCTGAGCCTTATTCATTTCACTTTTGGTGTGAAAGGGCTTTTACATTTGCCAAAAATTGAACTTTTTATATTAAAAATCAAACAAGCAAGCCCAGCCCAGATGAGAAAAAGTAACGTAAAAGTAACGTAACGCATTACTTTCCATAAAAAGTAACTAAGTAATGCAATTAGTTATTTTTTTAGGGAGTAACGCAATATTGTAAAGCATTACTTTTAAAAGTAACTTTCAATTTCCCCCAAATTTTTGATTATTCTTGTATTTTTCTGGTAGTTTTCCCACTTTGTTAAATGACCGGCCGACAAAAAATGGCATATCAGCTTCTGATACTAGAGAAATCCCCTTTGTGATTATTCCCTCCTATGTATCATTTGAATTCTTCACTTCCAGAGAAAATGTTAGTGCTCATAGGCTGCTATTATGAGAAACATCTGATACTTGAATGAAACATGTCTGAGAACTCCATTATGTCTCCTGAGCAATGAATGAGCAACCTCTGAGCACACAATGAGCTTTAAAACAAATGAAAAAAGCATGGACTGACTGATGGAATATTTGTAATGAGAAATATTTGAGTTCATATTGAGATCTCTGACTTTTAATTGCAGGCTTTGGTATTGTGGCAAATCTGAGCCCCATTTGAGACAGTATTGAGATTACTGCAGCCTTCTTCCTCAGGAGAGACATTTGAGATGCAAGAGATTCTGTTTCTCTCCATTTAATCTCATTGTTTTGTAGGAGAAAGAGCTGAGATATTAAAGAGATTTCATTCGTGATTATTGTTTCCTCTGTTTCGTCTTGAATTCTGCTCTCCCAGAGTTGCTCTTACGAGAAACATCTGAGACAAAGTTAATACTTGAATAAAACATGCCTGAGAACTCCATTATGTCTCCTGAGCTGTAAAAGAGCATCTTCTAAGCACACAGCAAGTTTAAATCTAATGAGAAAAGCTTGGGCTTAGAAGATTTGATGAGAAATATTTGAGATCATATTGAGATATCTGACTTTTGATTCAAAACTTTGGTATTATGGCAAATCTGAGCCCCATTTGAGACAGTATTGAGATAACTGGGGTCTTTTTCCTCAGGAGAAACATCTGAGAAGCAGGAGACTCATTTTGGTCTCCATTAATCTCATTGCTGTCGAGGAGAAACAATTGAGATCTCAATTGTGATTATTCTTTCCTCTGTGTCTCCTAGAGGAAAATCATATTGCTCATTGGTTGCTCTTTCAGAGCTCAAGAGACCTAATGGAGTTCTCAGACAAGTTTCAATAAAGTATTAACTTCATCTCAGAAATTTCTCATAAAATGATAAAAAATAAGAATATAGTAGCTC